GGGGACCTTCACCCCATGAGGGTGTGGCCATCATGGGTGAGGGGCTGATGGCTGTTTGCAGGTTGGCCACAATCCCTAGCCACCCAAGCTCCAGTGGAGGCTGGCTGGAAGCAGGTATCTGGGATTTATTTGTCTTCTATAATTGAAACTTTGTTTGCCATGAGCAGAGGCCACAGCCGGCTCAGGGCAGGCGGGAAGCTTGGCTTCCTCCATCACCCAGGCAACCAAGCCTCCTGCTTGCTTCAGTTCCGTGGTTGCTGGCCGCTATCTTGGTTGGGTTAATTTGCATATAGTCACTCTGATTAGCTGGTGGGCGTGGCTTAGGGTGTAGTGAAGGTACGGTCAATTAGCATCTTTGTCTTTTATTAGTGTAGATGATCATAGGGAGCTTGTGAAAAATAGATGTTTTCTGACCAAAATTTATTTTTTTCTCCCTTCTGCTATTATAAAAAATGCACCTGTATAAAGAGAAATATATGAAAATATTTTAAAATTAATTGTATTAATTTATTCCCCAATCTGCTAAGATTCTTATTTTAGGAAATAAACACATAACTAATTTTTCAAAAGCACAAATCAACTTGTTTGAATTTCTAGTTTACTGCCCAGCCCTCTGAAACTTATTTTTTTCTCAGTAATATATTGACAAAACTAGGAAAAATGCTTATGAAGCTTATCCCAAATCCTGACTTTCCCTAGCACTAGTTCTTTTGTGATAAATAAAGGAACTTAAAAGTATTTTTGAACTTTTAGTTGTGTATTAAGAGGAAAAAACAACAGAGTTTGGAATATCTAATTTACCTGCAATTCCAAATTGGTTAGCTTTTTTTTTGTTTTTGTAAAACTGTTAAAATAGAATGTAGAAAAAATACTAAGGTCCTGAACTCAAGTTCTTTAGGTGCCCAGAATTAATTTTAAAAAATTCCAACTTTTTCAGTGGATATTTTTTACTACCATCTCAGCAGGTGAATCTTGTTCATCTTGGCAGATGAATTAGTTACTTCCTGAAAATCTGTAGAGTTTCACCTTGCATCATCCTATATAATAAAAGCCTAATATGCTAAGTGTCCAGTTGGCCGGTCAACCAATCAAAGTGTAATATGCTAATGATATGCTAAGGCCACTCAACCGCTCTCTATAATGTGCACTGACCACTAGGGGTAGACAGTCGACTGGTCAACCAGTCGCTATGACGTGCATTGACTACCAGGGGGAAGATGCTCCGACTGGTAGGTGAGCTTGCTGCTGGGGTCTGGCTGATCGGGATTGAGCTAGATGGGCCAGACATGCTTTGGAGCCAACCTCCCATGTCCCTCCCCAGCCCCCATCATGCACCAGTGGGGTCCCTCGGTCTGGCCTATGCCCTCTTGTAATCTGGGACCCCTTGGGGGATGTCAGAGAGCCAGTTTCAGCCTGATCCCGCAGGACAGGCCGAGGGACCTCACTGGTGCACAGATTCCTGCACCGGGCCTCTAGTTAAATATAATGGAGATGGCCAACCAGGATCTAAGCTGCCAGACTTGTAGATAGAAGAATATAGACAGGGGATGCCTCACGCAGCACATGGGAAACCTTGTGAAATTGGAAAGTAAAACTATCCTGATAAGCAGAAAACATTCTTTACAAAGTAGAATGATTATTCTCACCTCCTAAGTTGATTGGCTAGTATAGGTCAACGTTTCCTTGTATACTCCAACTTCATTTCTCCTTACCTATTTTCTATTCCATGCATAACAGCCAATCATCTCATGTGTGACTTTGAGTCTGGTTTCTGCGGCTGGGAGCCATTTCTCACAGAAAATTCACACTGGGAATTTGTGAAAGGATTGACCGGTGGAGAGAACCGTCTTTCTGAGGCTGATCACCCAGCAAACACAAATCATGGTAGGACGTCAAAAAAAATTAGTTATCTTTCTTTCATGTTGTGGAATGATGATTCTGTGTATTTTCATTTCTTTCTAAATATCATATACATGGAACTTTGGTTTGTCTTGCCTTAAACTCTCCTGATCAACTTAATAGTTTGCAGTTAATTGAGTTTCTTGGAAGAAGCATTATTTTAATAATCAACATTTTGTTGCATTTTTTAAAAGGTTGGAATAAAGGCATAAGTAAGGGGTGGAGTGGGGGGGAGGTTCTGGTAATTTTCTCTTCTTGCCAGGAATTATGTACAGTAGACTTGCCTTCCTTTTAGGACCAATCCAATTTTTGCAAAACAGAAAGAAAAATTGCTTAATCTTCCTTCTGGGAGTTGAGAAAAGAGATTTAGCATTATCTATAAAATAAATCTGGAAATACTTGAATGAAAGTTAATCACTGAGGGTTTCTTTGTAAGAAACAATCTTACTTCTACCTCAGATATATTTTTAACCACCATTAACGTTTTGACTTATCTACCTGGCTGGTGTGGTTCAGTGGTTGAGCATCGAACTATGAACCAGGAGGTCACAGTTTGATTCCTGGTCAGGGAACATGTCCAGTTGCAGGCTCAATCCACAGTGTGGAGAGTGTACAGGAGCTGGTCATCAGCTGATTGACGATTCCCTCTCATTACTGATGTTTCTATCTCTCTCCCTCTCTCTTCCTCTCTGAAATCAATAAAATATATTTAAATTTTTTTTTTTACATATCCCCTTACAATAGAGCAACTATAACTACACATAGCATTCCATTAAAGATTTTTGAAACTTCTAGGAAAACAGAAGAGTTTTGTTCTATTTTTTTCTTTTGTTTAGATGCCATTGCTCAGATACATTAGTATACTATTAACTTTAAAATAACACAACTGAACTGTAGATCCACTTTAAGCTCATATAACCTCATTGGACATTATTTTATTTGTTTCTCTTTAAGATTTCCAAATAAGTATGCCAAAATTAACAGTACTGGCCATATTTTTAAATTAGAACCACTGGAAATTGGGGTTGGTGGGGGAGGATATTAGGGTATGGGAGGGAGACTTTGGCCATCTGTGTGTTCTCCAAAACTACAAAACCAGCTCATTATTTGACAGTGGAGTAAGGTCTTAATTTTTGCTTTCGTGCCAATGAGTTTGATTTTTCTTAAAGATTTTTTGGCAGAGTGGATTAAACAAAGTTTAAAATAGAAAGGAGATTTAATTATTGGAACTATATATTCATAGTACATTTTCTCCTGCTCATGTAATGTTTTCTTTTCCTTTTCTCAAACTAGTGATTGAGTACATACCATCTACTAGACTTAGGTGTGTGCAGATGGAAGCCATGGTCTCTGCCTTGAATAGGTCAGACTCTTATAACTGAAGCAGATAAGTAAAGATTTACAATAAGACATTGCAAGTGTTTTATAGGGGATGGATGGTGACTCAAGTGGATTTAGATGCCTTATTGTAGAGGATTTCTGACATGTGCACTGAAGATAAATGAAAAGTACCCAGGAAGGCAGAAGTAGAATCAAGGAGAAATGGCAGAACCAATGAGAGGTGGCAGGGAATGTGTTCTAATTAGAGGAAATGTCCTGAAAGAGGATAGGAGATAGGTAGGTAGTTCTGGTTGAGAGATGTGCCTATTTGGACAAGGATTATAAACAAAACAGGAGAGGATGTAAGGGGATGACAGAGAATGCCTGTAAATTTAAAATTTATCTGGAAAATAATGGTGACTCAATTAGTCATATTTAAGCCTCTGACCAATCAGATTTGCTCTAAAAGGCTATTCTTGCTGAGATAAGGGTAATGGAGAGCATGAAATACTGGGGTAAAAAAAAAGAATTGAAGTAATATCAATGAGAGATAATGTAGTCGTAAGCCAAGGAATGATTTATACAAGGAAGCTTCTCACACTGTGTGTTGTGGCCTTAAGTGACATCTACCATAGCAGGGTAGTGCACACACTAGCTGCCCGGAGTTGAGTAAGGGTGTTGATGCTGCACACATTTGCTAATACCTGTGCGCTTCAGGATCTTAGCTGGCAAATAGGGAAAATAAAGTACCTTCCATGTAAAATTATTATAGGAATTAAAAGAAATATTACCTATTAAGGTTTTTTTTTATAGTAAGAGCTCAATGAACAATAGATATTTGTTGTCCATTCTAACAGAAATAGTCGGAATACACCAGGTCTATGACAGTTAGAAAACACATTTATAAGTCACCTTCAGAGTCTTGCCATCTTTTACTTATCTCTTAATTATGGCTTATGCTAAAAAGATTATAAAAGGGCCCCTTTGTTAAATATTGAAAAATCTACTTTTGTTTTCCTGTGATATAAATAATGTTGAAAGATAACAAACTGATAAAACTGGGGGCAGCTCTTATAATTCAAAGTGTGAGGGACAAAGAAATTGTAGTCTTTATTTATTTACTTATTTATTCATTCATTCATTCATTTATTCATTCCTCACCTGAGGATATTTTTCCATTGATTTTTAGAGAGAGTGGAAGAGTGATGGAAAGACAGAGAGAAATATCAGTGTGAGACAAACACATGGGTTGGTTTCCTCCTGCATGGCCAGGAGGAGCATGCAACAGAGATACATGCCCTTGACCGAAATGGAACCGGGGACCCTTCGGTATGCAGGCCGACGCTTCGTCCTCTGAGCCAAACCGGCTAGGGCCAGTCTTTCTCTTTTTAGAAAGGACAAATCAAAAAAATATCTCAGTCACTGAGCCAACACTACACCTAAGATTGTGTTATCTAACCTTTAGGTAATCACTATAGTCTTCAATTACAATGAGGAGGAAAACAAAGCAGTACTGGAAGGGAAAGGAGAATGGAATGCAAGTTTCCTGGGAAATGCAGCAGAGTCATTCTTACAGTTTCCATATCTAAGACCACTGACTTCCAGTGCATTATGTTCTCAACTTTGTGTTTATGGATCACAGCTTTTAAAAAACTTTAATATCCAGTAATTTTCTTCATACACTCCCATATGTAATTTTACATAAAAGATGACTGGGTTGACATGATGTAGCTTATCTTTTTTGAGTAAAGCCTTGATTTCCATATCCTCCTTTTTTGGTTGGCTTCTACTTTTTCATTCCTAGCTTCTCTGTTAAACATCCAAACAGCCTGTATGCATGGTAGATATGTATAAGTATTTTTGTGATTATTTTACCAAAACTGAGATCATATTGTAACTACTGTCCTTATATTGTTTCCTTCATAATAGATAGCTCCTGGCAAGTCCTCTAAGTCATCATCTCATGTTAAAGTATAATTTAAATGCAGTAAAATTCAACCTTTGTGGTGAATAGTTCACTGAGTCTGAATAAGCATTTATAATTGTGTAACCATCAGAAGATATAAAACAGTTATGTTACCCCCTCCAGAATTCTGCTATGCCACTTTGTAGTCTGATGTGATTTCTGTGCCTTCATCAAATGTAAATGGATTCATACAGTGCGTGACTTTTTGAGTCTGGCTTCTTTCAATCCAAGCATAATGGATTTAAGATTCATCCATGTTGTTGATTGCAGTGGTAGTTCCTTTTTTTTTTTTTTTTTACTGCTGAGTAGTCTTTCATTGTATGGATCAACCACCACTTGCTGTTAAACTCACCAGTTAAGGGACATTTGAGTTGTTTCCAAATGTTTGCTGATTATGAATCCTATATAATAAAAGGCTAACATGCAAATAGACCGAACGATGGGACGACTGGTCACTATGATGCGCACTGACCACCAGGGGGCAGACGCTCAATGCGGGAGCTGCCCCTGGTGGTCAGTGCACTCCCACAGGGGGAGCGGCCGCTCAGCCAGAAGCTGGGCTCACAGCTGGCAGGAGCCTCTCCTGCCTCCACAGCAGCACCAAGAAGGAGCAGTGAGCTGAGCCGTAAGGAGTGAGCAGGCAGGCGGTAAGGAGTGAGGGATCCTGGACTGCAAGAGGGCACAGGCTGGGCTGAGGGACAACCCCCCCCCCCACAGTGCATGAATTTCGTGCACGGGCCTCTAGTATATTATAAAATTTACATATAGTTTTTTTGTCTGAACGTAAGTTTTTATTTGACTTGAGAGCTCTGTTCAATGCCAATGTAGAATTAATGTTTTCTCTCTGGTTGGTGAGAAAAGCCTACCATTTCTGGCCATTTGTGAGCTTTGGGACATGCTGCAGCTGCCCCTTTCACATGTCCCCCCCTAGCCTCAAGTGGTTTCCTCACATTCACGCTTTGGTTAGTTCTCACCTGGGATTTGGCAGGGCGTAGTGGGGACCTTTCTGCGGATCTATGGAGTTCTCTCTGTTTGTAACCATCTCCTTCTTGGCACTCTGCCTTATAAACTCTAGCCACTTAAGTATCCCCAAAATACCAACTCCATCTTTTCAACTTGAAGAGGCCACTTTACCCCTCCTGGTTCCCTGCTTCCTACATGGCAGTGGATACTGTCTGCATGGTAAGCTGGGATGATTGTATGGCTTAGCTCATGTGTTACCCCACATTAAGAGATCATTCTCTAGTGATCATGCATTTCCATTGTCCTACATTTGAAAACCGTTGTTTAATATATATATATTTTTATTTTGCTAGCTTAGGACAGAGACTAAATCTGGAAGTAGAAGATGCCTAATTCATTTTGTTTGTTTTTTCATTTCTTTGAACTGGCTATGCCATTCCCCCTTTGATTGATGGTATTATAACAATGCTTTTAAAATTCATTCTTGTACATGTTATCTTACATAGGATGTTTTTAAAGTATTAGTTATCTGGGATTGAGACTTCTATATTTCCACTAAAATATATGTATTTATATTTTTAATAAATATTGATAGGTTACTTCCCCTACAGATTTTAATACTTAAATATTCACTAGCAATATAGGAGTGAATATTTCCATTTACCTACCATAAATAGGCATTTTGTTCTCTTAAAATTTTCCTGTTTCTGAGTGTAAAATGATTTCTTATGGGTGTAAATGGTTTTTATATGAAACCTTTATTTGTATTTCTTAGAAAAATGATCTTTTCAAATATTTACAACTTCTCAATTTATATCTTCTTTAGTTTCTCTAAATAATACTTTATAGCTTTCAATGTATAAGGTTTTTTTATTTTGTTTTGTATTTTTTTAATTTAAATTCTTTATTGTTTAAATTGACCCCATTGACCTCTCCCCAGTGGCTCCCACCCCCTAGCACATGCCCTCACCCCCCTGCTGTCTGTGTCCATTGGTTATGCTTAAATGCATGCATACAAATCCTTTGGTTGATCTCTTACCCCATCCCCCCAACCCTTCCCTACCTTCCCTCTGAGGTTTGACGGTCTGTTCAATGCTTCTCTGTCTCTGGATCTATTTTTGTTCATCAGTTTATGTTGTTGATTATATTCCACAAATGAGTGAGATCATGTGATATTTATCTTTCTCCGACTGGCTTATTTCACTTAGCATAATGCTCTCCAGGTCCATCCATGCTGTTGCGAATGGTAAGAGTTCTTTTGTTTTTACAGCAGTGTAGTATTCCATTGTGTAGATGTACCACAGTTTTTCAATCCACTCATATGCTGATTCTTTATATGAAACCTTTATTTGTATTTCTTAGAAAAATTATCTTTTCAAATATTTTCAACTTCTCAATTTATTTATCTTCTTTAGTTTCTCAAAATAATATTCGTAGCTTTCAATGTATAAGTTTTAAAAATGTTTTGCAAACAAACAAAAAACAGCAAAAACAACAAAAATATTTTGCTAATGTTTGTGTTGGTTTTTGATATTTTTATTTCACCATTGCTAGTATTATAGAAATGCAATTTTAAATATTGACCTTATATCCAATGACCTTGTTAATTTTATTTATTATAGCAAATAGTATTTTTTATTTTATTGGTTCACAATTATTTTGTTTGTAAATAATGACAATTTTATTTTCTGCTTTCTTTTTTTTTAAATATATTTTATTGATTTTTTACAGAGAGGAAGGGAGAGAGATAGAGAGTTAGAAACATCGATCAGCTGCCTCCTGCACATCTCCTACTGGGGATGTGCCCACAACCCAGGTACATGCCCTTGACCGGAATCGAACCTGGGACCTTTCAGTCCGCAGGCCGATGCTCTATCCACTGAGCCAAACCGGTTTCGGCATTTTCTGCTTTCTAAATCTTAAGTCTTGTGTGTGTGTGTTTGTGTGTGTGTATTTCATTGAACTGGCTAGGACTTCTTGAAAAATGTTGAAGCCCCTGGGTCTGAGTTCAGAGTTTATATTCTTTTTACCCTTTATCTTCACATATAAATTTTAATATAATATTATTTATTTTTAAAATATTTGATTAAATTTTTTAGTATTGCATTTAGCTTCCAAATGAAATTTCACTAACAATATTTTTATATTGCCATCTTTCCATCTAAAAATATGTTATCTCTTTCTATTTATCAGAGGATTTATACTCTTTCAAGGTTTTATAATGTTCTTCTTATGTCAGTCCCTTTCTTATTAAATTTATTTCTATGTATTTTGTGTTAATGTTATTGTGAAAACAATATGTATTATCATTTCTATATCTATACATTGTTGCTATAGTTAATAAAAAATAACTTAAAATATTTGTTTTCACTTACCTTATCAAATTCTTTTATTAATACTTGTCATTATTTAAAAAATAGAATTCCTGGGAGCTTCTACTTTTACAATTACATTATTGGCAAAACATTAGAACTCTATTTTCTACTTTTCTGTTTATTTACTAAATATACTATTACCTTGATGTCTACACTTACTAGTCTATAAGATAATATTAGTTTAAGATAATATTATCTAATACAATCTCTAACATAAATCTCTATTTATTTTCTCATTTTAATTAAACTAGTTCTGTGTTTTGCCATTTAGGATATTGTTTAAATTGGGTTTGATTATTAGTCTTTATTTAATTGTTTTACTTTAATATTTCATTAAGTTATATTATTTGGGATGGCTGGTTTATCACAGTTTTCAATATTTGTTGAAATAAATCTATGATTTTACTTTTTAATTTGTTGGTCTAGCTGACTATGTTGATAGAGCTGCTAAATTAAACAAAATCTTCATTCTTGGAAAGCTCTGATTGATAAGGAAATAATAATAATTTATAATAATAACAATCATCATTATATTATTGTTTTATTCTCACCTGAGGATATGTTTATTAATTTTAGAGAGAGAAGAAAGGAGAGTGAGAGAAACTTCAATTGGTTGCCTCCCATATGTGCCCTGACTGGGGATTGAACCCACAGTATTTTGGTGCATGGGAAGATGTTCCAATGAACTGAGCCACCTGGTCAGGGACATATAAGTGTTTAATAAGGATTTCAAATGTAATCGATAACATTTTTATTAGACTTTATATCTCTGATCATGGGTGATGTTGCTTGATAGCGTTTTCTTTTTTAAATATATTTTTATTGATTTCAGAGAGGAAGGGAGAGGGAGAGAGAGACAGAAACATCAATGATAACATAGAATCATTGTTGGCTGCCTCCTGCAAGCCCACACTGGGGATCTAGTCCGCAACCCGGGCATGTGCCTTGACCGGGAATTGAACCGTGACCGTCTATCAGTGGTTCTCAACCTTCTGGCCCTTTAAATACAGTTCCTCATGTTGTGACCCAACCATAAAATTATTTTCGTTGCTACTTCATAACTGTAATGTTGCTACTGTTATGAATATCTGATATTCAGGATGGTCTTAGTTCGACCGCCAAAGTAGTTGCGCCCACAGTTTGAGAACCACTGGCTCTAGTTCATAGGTTGATGCTCAACCACTGAACCACACGAGTTGGGCTATAGTTTATTTATTTTTTTTACTTCTTCTATTTTCTTCCATTCTTAAAGATATCTGCATGCATCATAAAGTGAGTCAGGGGGCTCTCCTTAGTTTTCTAAGACCTAAGATCCCTTGAATAATTTTGCAAATATCTGTTCTTTAAAAATTAAATAAAACTTAGTCATGGGGTTGTACATTTCTAGTAGACATATTTTTTTTTAATCACACTTCCAGTTATTTTGTGGTGTAACCAATTTATTCAATCCCTTTTTGTCTTTTAGGTTTTGGAATTTTTGTGTTTTTATATCCCATTCTTTTTTTATTTTTATTTTTTTAAAATATATTTTATTGATTTTTTACAGAGAGGAAGGGAGAGGGGTAGAGATTTAGAAATATCGATGAGAGAAACATCGATCAGCTGCCTCCTGCACACTTCCCACTGGGTATGTGCCCACAACCAAGGTACATGCCCTTGACCGGAATCGAACCTGGGACCCTTCAGTCCGCAGGCTGACATCCACTGAGCCAAACCGGTTAGGGCTATCCCGTTCTTTATTAAGTGTTTGTTTGAAATTGTACAAATTGTTTTAAATGTCTGAATATTTTTTTAATTTTTAGTATTTTGTTTAGACTTTTGAAAATATTCACTGGAGTTTTACCTGAACCTGAGGATTTTAAATGTGGAATAATTTTTTAAAATTATCTTTTCCTACTCTATTTCTTTATAGGTGAAACGTAGAGAATAAAATAAGCTTATACATACACTGTTTCCATTAGTCTTAGGTTGGAATTTGGGAAGAGTAGTCCTCATCCTTCCCAGTTAGTTTCAAGATTTAAAAACCATATAAACTGGGTTCTATTTTCTTCACTCAATACTGCTAACTTGCAACTTTGGGTATTTTGTTAAACATATGGAGGTATCTATAAAATAATACATTTAAATACTGAAATCCTTGTATTTCTGTGTAGTCAGCATTGACTTGTATCTAGAAAAATCACCTTGTGAATGTGATATTTTCCAGTAAAAATGGTTGGCTTTCCAAGTTGCCTATCACTTCCTGCTTATCAAAGGGCAGGATCAGACCTTGACATTGTTTGGAATAGCCTTTCTTGTAAATTTTCAATATTCAATGACAACTCCGCCCCCACAGCAGTTCAGATGTGTGAGCTTTTGAGCAGCTAAGCGATGTTATCCCCCATACATTTGCCATGAGCACATCCACTGTAGTTAAAATCTATAAGCAGTTATTTTGTTAACGTTCAGATTAGATCTTTAATTAAGCTTTCATCCCCACTAGCACAGACCACAAGGTCAAACATGTAAGCCCCAGGAGGAACCAAACTCATCCCATAGACTCGTATCCTTCAGTACTTTGTGAAAAATCTTAAAAATAAAGCTCTCATAGGAATTTCTTAAGGGCATATTGAGTATCTAATTGTAAAGTTAGAGGCTTCATTTAATTTGATTTCAAACTCTTATTATGTGAGTTAAGCCAGTAAGATATTTGTTTATAGGATTAGTTCAAGAGCTTGTTTTTAATCAATTGTATTTTATTTTAGGTGTTTAATGTTATTCATCTGAAAGTGCTTTTAGTTGTCTATAGAGCTTAATGGCAAATAAGTAAAAATGTAATATTCTTTATTTAATTGGCAGTTGAATGTGTGTAAGGATAAGATACTAGGGCAAGGAACTGCTACGTGTACAACAGTAGAACCTGCATCTATATGACTTTATATTTGTTTTTGCAGGATTGTTTATTTATTTGCGGGCACATCAATTGCCTGGAGTGGCCAAACTTGGAAGTCCTGTTCTTACAAAATCACTTACTGCCTCTAACCCATGTCAGGTAATTTACTATTGGAATTTCCATGGGCCATTCTGTGGTTGTAAAGTGTTAGGCTTGTGCTGCTCTTGCCAGTAAATGTCTGCTATGTTTTACCACTGTTTTCATGATGCATCGAGAGATTTATATGAGTTATTTCAGCATGAAATGCCATGTCCTTCCAAAGACCATTTGCAGCATAACTCATGCCATTCTTTTTTGGGGGAGGGTACTAAGGAATATTTCTATCATTTTATATTATTTTACACAATTCTTTCATTAATGTAAAAGCTGTGGATGCATGTGTTAAAACTGCTTTTTATTTTTACCAATAATGTTAATTGAGTAAAATAAATTTAGTTAAAAATGCTTGTTGAAAGAAAGATGAAAGGATGAATATATGCAGAAAAATAATTATGTTTTCTGAAATTTTATTCTGTTAATTAATCCTCCTGGAACCAGAGCAACACTGACCAAGGCATTAGAATACTCAATTCATTTCAAAAGCACAATAAAGAAAAAACCTGAGGTTTGGGATCAGATAGATTTGGTACCAATCTCAGTTCTGCCACTTTTTTTTAGTATATGTGCTGCCGAAGCGAGCACTCTGCCACTTTTTTTTAATCCTCACATGAGGACATGCTTAGAGAGAGAAAGGGAGAGAGAACAAGAAAGAGAATGAGAACGAGAGAGAGAGAGAGAGAGAGAGAGAGAGAGAGAGAGAAAACAAACAAACAAACAAACAAAAACAGTGATCGGTTGTCCTCCATACATGTCTGACCAGGGATCAAACCCATAATGCAGGTGTGTGTCCTGACTGGGAATCAAACCAGCAACTGTTTGGTGCACGGGACAACGCTCAGCTAACTGAGCCAGTCTGGTCAGTTTCTGGAAGTTTGGTGAATCTTGGTTCTTCCACAGATTAAACGCTCTAGTTGAGATTCAGTGTCTACACTGGAAACCTTCGTATTAGCATACCTTCTTCACATGGTTGTAAACATTAAAATGTGATTAATCACCTAGCAAAGTATTTGCCACAAAACAGGCATTCACTAAACATAATTTTTCCCCTTTCTATAAAACTAAAAACTAAATTAGATGTTTCTCTTCAGCTTGTCTTGTTTTCATTCCTTTTGAGATTTCTGACACCTCTCTAAGCCCTTAGGATTTCAGCTTATTTTTTTCTTTAGTTATCAAAAAATAATGAAGATATAATACTGCCACACACTACATTCATCACTTATAAATACAGTTTATAGCACATTTCTAATAAGTAAATTACATATGATATAGAGATATAAATATATTATGTTTTCAGCTTGATAGAAGTCTGAGAGGGTCCACTGAACTCTTAGGTGTTCATCCTTCTTTCTTTTTTCTTGTTTCCTCCTCCTTCTTTTCTGTTTATTTCTCTGTGGGAATTAGGATTAAAACAACTACCTGGACTTGATTTCCACTTCACTCAACTGCACTCTACACTCGTCTTTGCTTTATTTTAATTAAATCCTATGTAATAAATACAGTTGTTTCTCTGTTTTGCTATTTTGTTTGAGAATTCCTGGAGATTTTGTGCCTTCAAGTAATGCAATCCCTATTGTTAAATACATTAGAGACATTGGATACAAAGGGATAAAATGTATTAATTCTACCTCTTTTACAAAAATTTGAACACAAACCTTAAGAGCTTATTAGGAATTTTTGAGACTCACTGAGAAATCATATTTTGTTTTTCATTTTCTTTTAAAAAATAATCTACCTTTTCCATTGTTGTACTCTGGTAGCCATTCATTTTGGTCACTGGGATTGTGTTTCAATTTATGATTATTTCCACTTGAGGACATTTTTCTCTACGGTTACTTACATTTGAAGCTTACCTGTGGGAAGTTATTTAGGTGAGGACTCAGGGAAAGCAGTGGACAGTTTAGATGCCTGATAGTTTGTCTCTCAGAACCAAGTCCTCTACCTCCCAAGGCCTCAGATACTGATTCAATCGTTTGCCTTCACTTTTGGAAAAGTGAGGGAGCTTCAACAACATTACAGACTGTTAGAGAGGTGTTTGTTTTTCCCATTTTTTCTGCATCTGCTTTAATCTTAGTAATCTTGAGGTAGAAGGAGGAATATTTGGATTACTTTATAGTATGTTCCAGCTTAGGATATAGTATTAGACTGTTAGAGAATGTTATTTATAGTCTGAGATACACATAGCTAGTGTTATCTCAAAAAGGAGTATTTTAAGAATATAAAATTACTTTTTTATAAATCTGTGGCAATGTTAGATTATTCCACAAAAGTTACAGAACAAGGGAACAAACCAAATTCTTATCTTCTTTAGTAATCAGAAAACCCGGCTGATCTTTCTAATTTGAACATACTGATTATATATTCCATATTATACATTGTATTCATGGAATAGCAAATGTTCTTCATTATAAAATGATAAAGTGAGGCAGTGAGATAACCGGGCACTTTGTATGATCAAAGCCTTCATTTTATAACATTATATGATCTTTTTTCTTACATAATCATATCAGGCTAATGCAGTGAAGAACATGTTTTTTTTAAAGAACTTTAAAAGAACACAAAGCTTTCTTTTCTAACAGCAGACTTTTAAGGTTATTATGAATTATTACCTTATACATTATATATGGCCAACACATGGTATCAACATGCACAGTTGTTCTGAGTTTATTCTTGTTCAAGATATGGATTTTAATTTAAAAGCTTCAAACCTTCCTTCAGTCACTGGTGGAAACTTGGCACTTTTCTCTTCAATAGCCAGGAGATAGGACAAACAGAACATGTGGGATCCAGAAGCCACTATTTCTTATTGGTACTGAGATGCTGTTACTGTTTCCAATTAACTAGGAAATATCAAATACGAAGGGGATTTATATGAATTAATATTTTTTGAGTTCTCCTATTTGAGTTACTGTACAAAAGACAAAATATCTCAGTTTTAGAATTTCACAATCAGATACAGGAAGACATAATACAAAGTTTCTGCTTCATATATATTTGGTATGTTTTTTAAAAATTCATAAGTGAAAATATGAATAAAGAGGGCAAGGATAGATGAAGCAAGAAGTGGGATGGTTCCAAAACAAAGTGATTCCAGGCCAGGCTACACATTCGCATCTAAGTGTTTCAGCAGCCCGTGCAGAAAAGACACACCAGTCATCATGGGTTCAGAATGCGGAATGTAAAAAGCAAAACACAAAACAAAAATAGTTCAGAGACTTCTCCCCTGAATGCTCCCAGCAACACCAATGTAAACATTTTTTATCTGATTCAATACACACTTAGTGCTTACTTACCTACTCTGCGCTGATCACAGTCCTCAAGCTGGGAAAAAAACAGGGACAACCTGAGCACATGCTGGCTATAAAGGTGGAGTTTAGTGAGGGATACAGACAGCAATTCAGGGTTAAGTGCCACGAGAGGGTGAACACAGTATAATAATAATAACCCACTTATAACAACTCTCTCAGTAAGTTTTGAAAGGCCATGTCTGATAATGTTCCTCAAGTAGAGTGATGAACTCACATCAAAGACAAATTAAGGAAAAAAGTAATTATGAAGTGGGACTTGGAATGGTGCAATCACACTTTGTTCCCTGATTTTCTTTAAATCCAAGGATAGATGTTAGAATATGTGATGCATTCTAGGGGAAGTAACAGTTATGGGGGAGGCATTGAGCAGGTGCTCTCCACTTGTATATGATCAAACGCATGGAGGTTAATTGGTTAATGAGAAAAACAGGTTACAATTTACTGAGGATTCCTAGCTTCCACTTAACCTTGTTCAGGTAAGGACGACACATGCAAAACATACTTATAACTAGGAGTCATAAAAATCACTGTGGTAACGGTTAGTATGTTTATGTATGTATGTATGTATGTATGTATGTTTATGTATGTATGTATGTATGTATGTATGTGTGTAATAAATAATCTTCCTTTTCAATACGGACTTATTGCCAGCTGAATTTTGAGGAGATAACTTGTTTCCTTTCCTTTCCTTTTTTTTTTTTTTACTTTTTTCTTGCAATTTTTATTATTCTAGATCTTGAAGATATAGAAAGTGTAGCAATACCAGACAGGGCCCGATTTGATTTAAAGCAGAGATGGCAGAGGCAGCTGACTGTTGGAATACACCTGAGAAAGGGCGAGAAGAGAGGACAAGCAGCTCTGAGATAGGGAAGCAATAGGAACAGAGACCATTGCAACGTTGAGGAAAGAAGCAGAAAATATGAAGGATAGAGTTTCAATTGGAAACAGACCAAAGGCACGTGAAACAGAAAACCAGCAATAAGGAAGAAATCATTTTGGACTTTTAAATAATGCCCTGTTACAGCTTTCAGAGAATTAAGTACCAGAGAGCCTAGTTAGTCCTTTGCAGAACTGGCCACTCCTCCAGGGAACATCTCAGGGCGCCTTCGAAACCAAAGAGCAAGTGGCTCCCTGAGGTTATCCACTCTCCAGCCTGGTCACCCACCTGCACTCAGTCACTAGCAGAGAAGCCACCTAAGATGCCCTTTCATTTTGTAGTAAAATGGAAGATTTGATATTTTTAAACATATAAATAATATAAAATCACAGAATACAAGTAAATACAATAAAATAGTTTAAGCATTATTTTTCTCTCTAATTTGCAATGAAAGGAACTGCTGTTTTGCAAGCTTTTTAGCACATGAAATTCTCTTGCATACAGTGATCAGTCACACACTATATATAAGATGTGCCTTAGGGAAAACCCAAGAGACATAAAACCAAGCTTTAAATGTTAACATTGACATTGTATTTAACTGCTTTTTACTGAATCAGGCATGAATCAAGAAAATAATTTCCTTTAACAATGACAAGCAGTAAATAAATTTTAAATGATTGGTGTAATTGTACATGCTTTGCAGCTCTATGTAGTAGAACTTTCTGTGATGGTGGAAATTTTCCTCTGTTACGTCCAGGGTGATAGCTACGTACAGCTGCTGAACAAATAAACTATGATGAGTATAATAACTAAGAAAAGGATTTTTAGATTTTGTTTAATGCTAATTAACTTACATGTAAGTAGCCACACTATTTTTGTACCTTGATCATTATGTGCATTATACTTATTCATTCCTTTTCTTTTCACTCTCCTCTATAAAACTCTGAGATCTGTAAGGACACCTAATATCTGTACATTTTCTGACACAGAGCAGCTGCTGCTGCTGCTGCTGCTGCTGCTTCTTCTTCTTCTTCTTCTTCTTCTTCTTCTTCT